TTTTTATTATCGTGTAAAAGAAATACAGCCGTGAAGAACGTTTTAATTCAGGCTTAGAAAACATAATAAGCAAAAATCGAAATTTCGAGTTTTTAGTTTTAAAAACAGCAGACAGTTTATGGCGGGCAAACACATCTACTCGGTCATAAATGTCATTAAAACTCACTGTAAAACAAAATGGATAAGTTATTTGCTAAGTTGTTTGATTTTTTTTTTAGGTCTTTAGTATAGTATCTCTGAACATTTGCATTCAGAGAGGGAAACCACGCGTTAAGGTAGATCTGTCAGTTGCAGTATTTGTTATCCAGCGTGGACTGAGTGATAATTTAAAAGATAATTATGATCCTGGTATTTAGCAGATCCATAATCTTGAAATGAAAACCAGACTGGATTCTAGTGTCAATTAAATATCAGTTGGATAAATCTTAGACTGGATTGTAACAGTGTCAATATCTTACTGCCGTGGAAGGGTGCGAAAAGCATATATATATATATATATATATATATATATATATATATATATATATATATATATATATATATATATATATATATATATATATATATATATGAAAAACAATCATACCCATAACCGTGCCAGTATCAGTATAAGTGGCTGCTATCACCGTAAAATGGATAGCAACAGTAAGAATATAAAAGATAATTATATGATAATTATGTTACAGTTTCACAGCATTCGGATTTATATTAAAATGAAAACCAACCAACCTCTAGCAGTGGCAATGGTTGTTGTCACATGTTGGAAAAGACCCAGTTGGGCAGTCCGTGCAATCAAAGGCGATGTGGCACTCGTGCACTGCATGGCAATGACACCTACGAAAGTGGCAGTATCCCTCCTGTCCCGTGGGGCAATTGATTCCGAAACAATCTGAATCACGTTGACACTTTCTGCTGCTGAACACTACGGCTAGAATAGGAAATGAGAAATATAACTCTTTCACTTTCTTTTAGAGGAAAATATGGGATATATGCTATAATTGCGTTACAAATATATTTTATTTACGTAGTCAGTCATTCGATTTGAAAATGTAGACTTTTTACCTCGATATATATATATATATATATATATATATATATATATATATATATATATATATATATATATATATATATATATATATATATATATATATATATATATATATATATATATATATATATATATACTGGTTGTTTTGAGGACTTTTTTTAGCTTCTGCTATCTTACTCAGCCAAATACCCGTGTATGTATGTATGTATGTATGTATGTATGTATGTATGTATGTATGTATGTATGTATGTATGTATGTATGTATGTATGTATGTATGTATGTATGTATGTATGTATGTATGTATGTATGTATGCATGCGTATGTATGCACAACAACTATATAGTTCCAAGAAAGTTCATTCAAGGATTGTAGGATCACCATTACGTAGTGGTATACTTTATTACTACTACTTATAAACACAAATAGCGTATAAACTTAGAACAGTTAGTCCTGAAGTAATAAAAAGACCGCATCTCCTTCATTTTACATTGATGGATTAGAATTATTGAAAGTCTATTTGATTGTTTTCCAGGAGAAATTAAAGACTACAGCTGCAGGACAAGGATTTAAAGGAGAAAAATGTTGTTAAAGTAAAAATAAAACAGATTGCGCATTTACACAAATGTATTTTACTAACACTCTTTCACGTAACAAAACTAAACGTGGTTATTTTTGTAAAAATCGTTTCCAAATGTATGTGGTGCGTGGTTTGCGGTCATTTCTTTTTTCAACGTTGTTATGATGTCAAAATCATTCAATTAAAAAAAAATCTTAATAAACTTTCGTACTCAACAACGAGTAGACACTACTTTGTTAGTGCTATATAATTATGAATGTTGCTCATGTTTCAAAAGTCCTGTCAAAGCAATTACATCGGAATATTTCATGGATCATCGAAAGTAACATCAGCTGACATACATACATACATACATACATACATACATACATACATACATACATACATACATACATACATACATACATACATACATACATACATACATACATACATACATACATACATACATACATACATACATACATACATACATACATACATACATACATACATACATATATGCTATAATTGCGTTACAAATATATTTTATTTACGTAGTCAGTCATTCGATTTGAAAATGTAGACTTACATACATACATACATACATACATACATACATACATACATACATACATACATACATACATACATACATACATACATACATACATACATACATACATACATACATACATACATACATACATACATACATACATGAGACAGACATTCATTAAATATAAATGACAAGACAAAGAGGATAAATTTGTTTGTCAGAGAGAGAGAGAGAGAGAGAGAGAGAGAGAGAGAGAGAGAGAGAGAGAGAGAGAGAGAGAGAGAGAGAGAGAGAGAGAGAGGACTTACCAATGAGCATGGCCAGCACAACAACACAAAGTGTGGCTTTCATATTGTTTTCTTTGGTTCTAAGCGTTTAACAAGCTCTACTGAATTGACTATTTTGGACTGATGCATGTATGTATGTATGTTGCTTATTTATACTTCACGGTACCCACCAGAACGTGATTGCATTTTGCATAGAACCGCAATCGTTAATCAAGCTGTAAGGATGTGGTAAGGATAGCTCTTCCCGACCTTATTACCCTTTAAAACAGCATTGTAGCAAGAAACACAACTGATGAAACACTGAAAAAAATTCAAGAAAGTCGGTGACAACAAGTTCAAAGCAATACTTATATGTAAATAAACCTATCATGTTTTAGTTAAATTGTAAGCTGGGGTGATTTCATTTTCTGTGTTATTCTACTGCAGTGGTCATCAAACTTTTTGAAACTGTGGACTCCGTAGCATGTCGTGGTCAGATGTCAGAAACCTATCAGCCTATCCAATAAATTTGGCCGATCAACATTATTAATATTTTATGTACTCCATGTAAAACATCAGTAAGTAATAACCATAGAATAGAATAGAGTCAATACAGAATAGACAGCTCAGTACTCACTTGTTTTTATAATTGTTAATATAATGAAAACTTTGCAAATATACTATTTTGATTCTTTTATGGGACCTGCTTGCGGACCCCTTGGCATCATGCGACTGACCCCAAGGGACCGCGACCACAATTTAAAAACCCCTGTTCTACTGTATTTTATTTGCTACAAAAAGATAGATAGACAGACGTTTGTAATACGTTTGTGTGAGTGACACACGATGAGTTTAGACCCATATAATACCTATTTAAGTGCTATACATCATCGATTGCAAATTTATTTGCTGCCAGTCTTTGTAACTAGTGTTGGAGGAATCTGTTTACTATAAAACTCATGAAACTGTTAGCGAGTAGTATCGTGCGTCCATACCAGTTAGTAGAATCAGTGTCAGGTAACTACTGATGCTATATGCAGACACATCCAAAACTTCTTGAAAAACTATTAATTTTTTTTTCTTCTATAAACAGCACTGACAACCACTATATGAGTCACAACCATGAAAAAAAAAAGGTTTGAGAGAAAATTATGCCAATATCACGAATGAGGTTTATTAAAAACATTTTCTATTGAACGAAACCCGCTTAAAATCCAGAAACACTGGCAACCACAGCGACTCATACTAACGTGGACTGCTCATAGGAGAAAACGAAGAAATGAGGAAATCCGACGCCATTTTCAGATGAGCAAGACTATTAGAAAAAAATGCACCTCTCAAAAAAGACCAATAACACCCCAAAAAAATCAAACAAGAAAACAAACAAACAAACAAAATGGAGATAAATATAAAAAAGTCTGTCTTATTATATGCATACATTCCACAGACCAACAAACATGTCAAGTCTACTAAGCCTAACACACTGACAACCAGCATATAGGAGACAGATTTTACACATTCACATGCTGCTCATACCTATGTTAAACGTTAGGTTTTCAAGAAAAGTTATTGTTGATGTTGTTGTTTAGGGGTTAACGCCAATTTTTTAAAAGCACAAGATAGGCTATACATGGCGGCCAGTGTAAATAGTGGAAGAAGAATCTGGGAAAACCCCTAAAAGAACCACCGATCCCCGAGAAGCTACTGGCAAGCTTTCTCAGATACCTACATTGGCCGAACCCGCGCAGACAGAGGTGAGATGATAATGACCCGTAACAGTGAGCGCTTTTGACCACTCAGATTGAAGAAAAGAGATCGATGTCAGATGGGAGGGGATCAGGTCATCGTGTGCATGAGTAAAATAATATTATTGAATATAAATAGATCAATGGAAAAAGTCGAGATTACTGCACACAATCTATTGGACCCTAAAGAATGAATTTCACAGACTCGTTAAAAGCCTAAAATAGTTACAACAATCATTTGGGACATGAAGGCTACGACAAAACATAAAAGTTACACTGTGCATGCCTATGAAAAGGGTTAGGTTTCAGTGAAAATTGTATCAATATGAAAGTTAAGAGTTTTTGACAATTAACAAAATATACTCCATACTACACATCATCGAGAAACCTAACAAGCCTGAAACACTGTAACAAACATACTCGTCATGTAGGAGAAGGCAGTCCACACCATCTCGTGACCATGTGAAAATAATTCAGGAGAGATTACATACATGAGTTATTTAAAACACCATGCATAGTAATTAAAAGCCTAAAACGATGACCACAACCACACGGTTTACGGAATTAATGGAATCTATAAGGTGGTGGTGTTTATAATTTTTAACGTAGCTTTAACAATTTTTCAGTCATATCGCTACGATGTCCGCAGTGTGGCAGTTTATAGTGATGTCTAGCACTGGGGCATCATGCCACATTCATGTAGCATGATGTCCCACCTAGTCACATTATCCTGACACCAGGCCGACCAGTCCTAACACTAACCTCTTAATGCTGACCGTCAAGAGAAGTAGCTGTTAGTACCATTTTTGTAAGTCTTTGGTATGGTTCGGCCGGGGATCGAACCCACGACCTCCCGCATCCGAAGCGGACTCTCACCACTAGGCCACCGGAGCGGTTAGAATCCATAAGACTCATACTGCTAATATCCATAGAAGACAATATGCTTTCGAGAAGAAAAAAAAAGAAAGAGAAATGTCAAAAATAGGGCTTGTTGTACTTTTCACATAATAGCTTAAAACACGAAACATTAACAACTACCGTATGGAACACAGAAGGAGTAGGGGTCATACATCAGATCACACAGTCCATGACCATGGAAAAAAAAACACAACAACAACAGGTTATTAAAAATTAGGGCAGGGTGCAAACTAATTGGTAAGTTTTAAAAAATGTAAACATGGATTCAATAAAATGTATAAAATAAACTCATTTTAGATAAATGTAAATATGAAATGCAACAATATAAACTACTAAAACGAAATTCTGTTAAAATTCTCTAATATATATAAATATATATATATATATATATATATATATATATATATATATATATATATATATATATATATATATATATATATATATATATATATATATATATATATATATATATATATATATATATATATATATGTATGGAGTACCGACTGCTGTGTATAAATACAAAACAAATGGAGAAAAATCTGTATCTAAATTATATACTGTCATCAGTGGGTAAATGCAAGTTAGACGTTGCATGTTCATCATCTCAGCCTAGGAGTAAATTAACAAAATTAACAGCATTTGGATTTAATGCAAATTCATTGAACAACAGTTGCTGATTCTGATGTTATTCCTGGCAGTCCTGCTCATTGATCTTTTACTTTTGCGGTTAATCCTGTGACGTCTGCAGAGACTTGAACTATGCAACAAGAAATATCAACACAAGCAAGTTTTGCATAATTGAATAATTTATTTCTCACAAAGGTTGAATCCGAAAATAGGCAGATTAGATCCTGCCATCGTTTTCAATAATATTATCTGATGTTACATGTCCAATACACGTGAAATTTTCGAAAACGACATGCCATTTCTCCCTGTGGAGTGCGTTATTTGCCTCCCCCTCCCAACGTGCCCCCATTTCATATTTAATACAACAGCTAAAGGTTAGACTTGAGCCTCTGCGCATTACTTCAAAGACACCGCGTGTTACAGTGATTGAAGTACTAGTAATTGATTGACAAATAAACCCTTTTCTGTGATAACTAATAATGCCTAAAAGGGGTATGCATTTTTTTTTCCAAATTTTGTGTCAAGCTACCATACATATGATAACTATTTTCCACATTTTATATCCCACCGTAAGTCCTTATTGTTAAAGTGAGAAAGCCTGCCAGTAGCTTCTGGTGGGTCTTTGGCTCTTCCCGGGTTTTTCCAGGGTTCTTCCTCCACCATTAATACTGGCCGCCATGTATAGCCTATCTTGTGCTGAAAAATGGCGTTAAACCGTATAACAACAACTTAAGGTTAACTAGTGGCTCCATAACAAAAGCGCACGGACAAAAGCGTACTGACTAAACAACCTTGCAATGCTAAACAACCTCGACAAAAGCGCACGCGACAAAACCATTAAACAGTGTGGGTGGTATTCAAAAATCCAAAGTCAGGACCATTATTCTCAGTCCAATTCTAATTAACTGTAACCCGCGATCAAAACAATTTGCTTTCAAGTTTTATAATTAACTTTAACTGACTGCCGATTATTTTCCAAAGACAAAGGGATCGCATACAACATTAGCATTTAGAGTAATTAACTCAGTAAATGTCAGTTGAATCATTAAAATGACAATTATTTCTTATCATTTGTATTATTTGGTCTTACATAGAAGAACTGTAGGCCAAGTTCTCAGAACTATTTTAAAAATGATGTTTTTTGTTATTTACACTTTTGCAGAGTGCATGTCGGTGCGCTTTTGTTAGCTAGTATCTGCATATAACAATGTTGACTCGGTCAATAAAACTTTTTTTCGAAATTGATATGATGATCACTAATGTATGTATGTATGTATGTATGTATGTATGTATGTATGTATGTATGTATGTATGTATGTATGTATGTATGTATGTATGTAGGTAGGTAGGTAGGTATGTATGTAGGTAGGTAGGTAGGTATGTATGTATGTAGGTATGTAGGTATGTAGGTAGGTATGTATGTATGTATGTATGTATGTATGTATGTATGTATGTATGTATGTATGTATGTATGTATGTATGTATGTATGTATGTATGTATGTATATATATATATATATATATATATATATATATATATATATATATATATATATATATATATATATATATATATATATATATACGGTACACAGCTATAACCTCTACCTTGTTTATATCTGTCATGATCATTGTTCTGTACTTTGCATCTAAAGTGGAAAACAAGCCCCTAATTGGAAATCAAACTGACATGAAATGTTTGTATTAATTAAACCTGTAGACGTAATGTTTCTACAATAACAAACAATCGTAAACGTTACTCCTTAGTCATCGGGCGTATTCACAGAATGACGGCGATATAGGGCGTTTCTATATTGCAAGATAAAATGTGTAGGCCTATATACAAGCTGCTTACGCTTGGTAAATAATTAATTGATTTTCTTTCTGTTTGATTTAATTACGTCTGGCAATACCACGAAATATGCATATTAAAACATAAAAGTTCTTCAAATGACAAAATTAAAATTGTGTTTGGAAAGGATTAAAGATGCTTACATTTGAGTGTGATTCGGGTATATTTTTAATACAAGATGCAAACTCATTCTCTGCCACTGATAAAGTATAAAATCACGGGTCCCCTTTCTCAGTGACAAACTGCCCCCGTGCTTTGTTGAAATTTAGTGAGGCAAAGGTTTTGTTAAATTTAATAGTCTTCGTACACATACACATACACCATACATTTACTGTACAAGCCTCAGCAAGCAAGGTTTTCACAATAAACAATTTTTAAAACATACTTTAAGAACAACCGTTTTATTATAAATATATTTTTATAAACTATTTTTTAAAAAAAAATTATGTTTCATAAATTAAAGTATAACTCTATTGGATTAGATTTGTGCCGCATTATTTATACAGACTTCCTATAAATAAAACCTTAAAATGAAAATCTGCTGGGCAAATTTGAATTTGGAATGCATCAAAATCTGGTCAAAACCGATTTTTTTTTCCGAATCCTAAATTCGGATAACTCAAATTCTGAGTATGTCCGAAATTTAGCCAACCCGAAATTCATATAACTCAAAACCTGGCAAATCCGAAATTTGGACAAATCGAATTTTGGGCAAATCCGAAATTTAGCCAAACCGGAATTTCGGATAACTCAGAATCTGTGGAAGACCGAAATTAGAATGAACCCAGTCAGTTAGTTCTGCCGTTTCTGTAAACGTGTTGTTTATGGTCGAAAAAATAATTTGTCTCAGGAAAGAACGATCGTCCTTATTAAGGAAAGTGTAAAAAAAATATCTCACATTTATATTATAAATGCACACGACAATGTGATTTCTAAATGTTGACATAAATTCCCACTCCATGACCTTGTTAAAGTTGTTACACAGAACAACTCATTTAACATTTCTCTTTTAGAATTATACAACTAAATAAATTATTTAAAAGATAGAAATCTTTACCTAAGAACAATACTGTTTCGCAATCCAAGTTTCTAACTTCGCAAGAAGTTGTCCGACACCTACTTTATCGTCTGCTATCCAACTTATCAACTTGCCACTTCGCAAGAAAATCCCAAGTTTGTAATCTGTTACTAAATTATTTAGTTTTTTTTTTTCATAAACGAGACGTAAACACATTACATCCTGTTCATTATTGTTTCTCTTCAAAATAATAGCTTATCCTTATAAAATGTTGAACTGTTACAATATTCTTTTACCTGATAGGTTTAGTTTGCTTAATATCTCTTTCCATTTAATGGCATTTTTACATTGAATTTTGTCAAACCAGCTATAAACCTGATCTAGTTCCTTGGCGGAAATGCTGACGAAAGAGTCCAAAGTAATGGCATTTTATTTGCATAGCCCGATGCATTAACATTACATCGTTTCAAAGACATGCGCAGAATAGGCCGACATATCGCGAGTCATGAAAACACATAGGCAATATCCCCTACATCCATAATTAGTGTTGTTTTCAACAGATTGTTCTGGTGACAATTGCCGCTTTTCAAATGGTAAGCATTAAGATATTTTATTTTTGTCAGTTGGTCGAATTTAGTATGCGTTTTGGGCCAATATTAGTGACGGAAACCTTTGAAGAGCAGAAAAGTCCGACAGAGTTGTAAATCATAATTTAGGCAAATCTGCAATTTAGCATTCTAATAAATAAAAAAAAACAAAACAATTTCAGAGATGGTTTTACCTGAATACAGTTTGTCATGGCTGACAACTTTTCAAAACGACTAAAATTTGTAATTTCTGAATTTTGAAATTTATGTCCGAAATTTTATTGCGGAAAGAGACAGACGACTCTAATGTAAATGTTGTCCGTCTTATATCTGAAACGACTATTTATACAATGTGCTCCCTTGGATAACCTCTGATGTATACACAAACATATTCATTGGGGACAATATTCTTGTTCCCTTGTTTAATATGCTCCTTGCATTGCACTCCGCTATACGAAGTTCAACACACGGAGCATACGAAGTAGAGAGCCAGACTATGAGTCATGTGCTTTCGAAGAGAATGATTTCTTAACGTATAAGGGTTTACAATGCAAAGACTATGGCTACTACTCTAATCCAGGTTTCATCTGACCATTGCCACCCTTTTCTTGGCATTTGGATATTTATGTTGTGGTTTAGACCTAAAACTCCAAATATAACAAATGTTCTGGCACGGCTTAGAGGAAATTATACAGCATAAGAGCTGCCAATGTCAAAATGCAATTAAACTTTTAAGTTAAATGAAAATTGTTTCAATGTAAGTTTAGTTATTATAAAGAAACTGAAATTTTGGCCTTATCCTTTGGCCTATCGATTACCGACTCGGCAAGGATATGGTATTCCTCAAGCTTGCGAGCCGTTGTAGCTCAGTTGGTAGTGCGTCAGA